AGCATGGGCAGGGCAGCAGCCCTGGGTGCCCTCCCAAAGCAGCCCCCGGGAGGCAGCCGCAGCCTCACAGCCCTCGCCCCAGCCCAAGCTGTCCACCAGGTGTTTTTGTAATGTGGCAATAGCAATATTGAGGGGTCAAAGGTGTTGTCCAAGGAAGGGGGTTCATCTTCTGAAGCCCCACAAAGAGGAGCATGGCTCAGCGTCACTGTGCTGCTAGGGGAAGCTGGACACAGGCACAAGGGTGCTGTAACCAGCCCGGGGCAACAAGATGTAACTGCAGAATTCAGCTACCTATAGAAAAATAAAATGCCAACACTGAAACAAGCCGAGCACTAAAGAGTTGACATTGCCAATGAAAGCAGCTGCTGAACGCACCGATCTGTCGGCAGCAGGATGGAGAGCTCTTGCCAGGACAAGCAGCAACTCTCAGGAGAGAGAGGAGAGGACAGGAGAGACTCACTGGTGCCAGCTAGAAAGAGAATGGCTCCTCTAATAGCGACATGCACAAAGTGTTCCCCACCTCCCTGCAAAGGGCCAGGGAGAGCATCAGCACCAGAGGCCACCTCACCTCTCGGTGTTTGAATCTGAAGGGTGATCTGGGGCTGGCTGCTGTTTCCCCACGCCACTGGGATGGCGGGGAGTTCAAGGGGAGAGAAGGCTGTTACTGAAGATGCACACATCTATTTACAAGAGCTGATGGAGAGTGACTGCAAACAGGATGAGGGACTGCGTGGGAGGAGATGCGAGGGCCCCTAGGCAGGGCCCATTTGAATAAGCTTTTCAGGCACCCTCTAATCCAGACCCACGTCTCATTTCATTCCCTGCCATAACACAGTTAGTGGCTCCAGCTCCAGCTCGAATGACAGGCAGTGATTCACCCGCAGGAATGATACAGGGAGCAGCACACGGAGCTCCTAATTACAACAATACAGCTGCAGCCTTGCAATTTTACCTGTTCGTTAACAGGAACTAATTCATGCGTAATGCCAAGAGCAGCTCCTACAGACTCCATGGCCGACTAACAAAGAATCCAGGCAAGAGAATTTGCTCACAGAGGCAGCCACGTAACATGCTGCCGCTACACAGCCTCTGTCTAAACGTATGTGAGACGAGGTTCAAATTGCCTAAAAACAACACAGCAGTCTGGGCAGAAACCCGACGCAAGCAGCAGTGCTGTGTGCACGTGAGCACGGCGGGGAGCTGATGCCCATGCAAGCGTTTCTTTTCCCAGCACTGCCTTAACAAGGAGCTTTTGAAGTGTGGGGAAAACCATTTCTGAGCTTCTCGTCACCCTCTTCCCTTGCAGGCAAGGGCTGCCCAGGGTGGGTGCTGCCCCCCGGGGGGGCGCAGCTCTCTGCCATGCAGGGCAGGCAGCTGCAGAGCAGTGGGTGAGTTTCGCTTTGATCTGCTCCAATAACTCACCTCTAGCTCTGACAAATCTGTCAAGAAGGGAGACTGGGCAGATGCAAGCAGAAGACCCCAGCACGTGGCAGGATGGTGGCACTGGAGTTATGAGGAGACAGGCCTTTGCCTTTTACACCACGGAAAAATGACTTTTGCCTGTAACAGCTGCGGTGCCGCCCTCCCTGTGGTAGGCTGCTGGGCTCAGGGACACGCTCTCCTGTGTTGCAACACCTGATTTGAGATCCCCCCAACTTTTGCCCTAGCAGGAAGGTGCAGCGCTGGCCTCCCTCCACAGACGATGCCAGGAGCCAGCCGGGGATGCGGGAGGTGCACAGATCACTGTACTTTTGGTGGGGAAGTTTTCTCAGCCCTTTCTTAGACACTGCCTGTGGTGGCTTTGGGGCTGAAAAGCCACTTGCCCAGAGACTGCCACAGCTACCCTGCACTCCTGCCAGCTCACCGGTTGCACCACGCTGCCGACCAGCCGCTCAGCACGGCTGCTCATGCTGCAACACACAGCAGCATTTTACCGGCTGGGGTCAGTGCTACCTAACGCCACTAGCAGCCACCAGTCAGGCTGCTCATGAAGAGCTTTGGCCGGGGTTTGCACCCTGCAGGAGAGTCAACCGGCTTGTTCCTCAGTGTCAGCTGTCCCAGCTTCCTCCAGCAAATACCAACCCCTTCCAGAGCCGAAGCGAAGCCTGCAGAGCCTGCTCTCCCATCCCTCCCGAGGGGAGCAGAGAGGCGAAGGCAGCCGACGGTGGCAGCCATGCTCCACTGCAGGCATGGGTACCCCTGGGGCACCTGCAAGAGAGCACAAAACCCAGGCAGAACAGGCTGGAAAACAGACTGGACCCCTTCATGGAAGAAAAAAGCCCATTAAAGACCATTAAGCACACACACAAAAAAAAAAAACCACTAGAGTTTTTTCAGTGCTAGCCTAAGCCCCTTGCACTGCTGTTTTCCGGGGATGGCAAGTGCCAGGGGACCTCCCCTCATGTGCTTGCCCTGCTCTCATCTTCCTCCCAGTAGCAGCAGTGGTGCGGACAGACAGAAAGGCCCTTGGTCTGTCCCACTCCTCCTGCCCATGCAGCACGGCCTCTTCCCTAAAGGGCAACGAGCTGTGGCTTTTTGTAATGGCTTTTGCTAAATGGAAATTTTCCTGGGCAAGTTTGATCTGTTTGTTCATGCGTTTTCAATTTTTAAATTTTGAGAAAAACCCAGGGAAAACTTTGCAAATACACAGCCACACAAACATTTTCCTTTTCTTTTTAGTTTTGTGCTGACAAACCACTTTCTGCAGCACTGTACTGAGGCCAGGGCTCCAACAGAATTGGTTCAAAACCACCCTGTCCCCATGCTCCCAGCTGTGACGAAGCAAATGGCCTAAAAATGTGCAGGTTTCTGTTAAGAAGCAATTACCCAGAGAAGCGCGTGGGCCTCGGAGGTGGTGCCAGCTGTGGAGAGGCGCAGTCCCATGGGATGCGGTGTGCACCAGTGGGTACCACACACTCCATCCCCCCGAGCCCAGTGGACCAAGCGCCGCCCCACCACCCTAAAGCCCTGAGCCCCCAGCTCATGATTCACAGCTGGAGCTCTGAAGCCATGAACCACCAGAGCCCATCTCTTTCCTGCAAGGGCCCTGCCTGTACTACGCCTGTAGTTAGTTATTTACAGCAGGCCATGCGGGGTGCCAAGGCCAGAGCAGCTCTCTGGGTGCGGTGTGAGGGTGCTGTGTGCCAGGGAAGTGGCTGCAGCAGAAACACCTCAATTATTTCCCTGCCCTGAGCACGGGAGAGGTGCTGGTGGCTTCTGGGGAACAACGAAGGGCTGCCCTGAACCCCCCTCCCACACAGGGACAGGGAGAAGGGTCCTCAGGCTGACCTGTCGCTCCCTCCATGGACAAAAGCAGGACTGCGCAGGGGACAGGTGCCCATGTGCACTCTTTTGGGAGGTACTTCACGTCGTTCTGAACTCCTACATTACCAGTTGGCAAGCTCCTTTTACTCTAGAGACTAGCAAATGATTAAATATATATCTATATATATGCCAAACTGCTAGCAGAGGATCAACCTATTAAATTGGTAAAACTCCAATATATCCACCCTTTATGACAACGGATGCTACAAACAACCTGTACCATATTGTTTCGTTATAATATTATTATACTCTAAAATACCTGGGAATAGCATTCCCCTTCCATATTTTAGTTAAACAGCACATTTATTTACTAATCTGCACATCATCTCTCAAAGACTCATGCATTATTGATTTGAGCTCAGCCACGGAGCCTTAATCCATGTTAGGTCCAGTAATACCATCCTGCTCGTTTTCACTGGTCTCAGAGGGGCCACTGGTGTGAGATAGTGCTGAGAGCCGGGTCTCATCCTCCTGCTCAGGAGCAGCCATGTCCCTGGCACTCCCTGATGAGCAAGAGCAAGGACGGCAAATGCCTCTTGGAATATTCCTCAGGCTCATCACAGCCATAACAGACACCAGCAGGAGACACGAGTGCCACAGCCGCTATGGGCACCATACAGAGACAACCTCAGCTCCAGATGGGTGGCATTGTGGGAAGGCACGTACCAGGCAGAATGTGAACAAGGAGAAGGTAAATATCCACTCTGTAAATCCTGCAGCAAACCGCATACAAAGTACATTTTGAAAGATAACAGCGCGGGAATCAGAGCTGCCCGGTCTTCTATTAAAATATGAGTATTTGGGCTCTTTGTTATTCACACGAGCATCTCGGGGGAACAGGTGCTGTTACGGGTCTCGGCTTCCTTGCTGGAGCCCAGGTGACACACGGCCACGACACAGGTGCCTGTCACCACCAGCAG